CATTAAAAAAAAAAAAAAGGAATTGAGTTTAGAGCAGACCCCTGGAGTTTTTTGCCTCATGATTTCGATTATCGCGCTTGAATTTGGCTAAAGTGAACACAAACTTCGAAAAAACAAAAAACAAAGAAAAAAAAAAGGAAAAAAAAAAACGGGCGGGGATTGCCGTATGGCATGCGGTGAGTCTCGCGTTTCTCGGACGCCTGTTATTTGTCAAAGTCGTCGGAATGTCATTGTCGGCATATGAACACAAATTTAAACTTTTACGGTTTCTCCAAGTTCAAAATCCTTTTCAGCTTCCCATTAAGTCAACTTCGTCTTTTGTTTTTCTTAGGATGGTTGAACTTGCGTATTGATTTGTAATACACTTTCAATTTTCAAGACGTGCTACGTTGCTTCCCTGAGGAACGGTGGTTCAAGTGTCAAACTACTTTTTTTCTTGCATTGGGATCCCGAAGTATTTCCAGACACCGAGAAATTTCACCCCCACAGGTTCCTTCGCGGGAATTCGAAGGGAGGGCATCCTTTAGCCTACGTTCCTTTCTCTGCGGGTCCCCGAAACTGCATTGGTAATGACGCCATTTTGTTCCTCGTCGTGACCACGCACTTCTAGATATAGTCTTTTTGTTTCCTTCTCAGGTCAGAAGTTTGCGATGTCGGAGGAGAGACTCGTCATTGCCAACGTTCTGTGGCGATACTCGACCACAGAGATCAAGTCTGCTTAGTCACCGAAATGGTTCTCAGGCCTAAAAGTGGCCTCCTATTCAAGTTCATTCCCGTGACGTATTTGAAGAGTACTTGAATGAATGCCGTGAATGGCAACATGCACACGAAAAAAGTATGATCATGGCTGGGGCTTCTTAGCTGTATCATTTGTCGATGTTCCGTGAACTGTAGGGCAGGTTTTGCAAATCAATGGACTTGCAGCGAAGTAAATCTTTATAGCTCTTTCTGACATGGAGCATCGTGAAACCTTGTACGAGAGTGAGACAAACTTCGCGAAACTATAAATATTCAAACAGCTGATTCAGTCACGAAATAAAAACCAAATGAAGCCTGATTTCAGTATCAGATGAGGCTTGTTCATATATAGTATCGTGTTTTCCCTTTAGTCGGTACGGGAAATAGCACCGGCCTTGCTGACACAGCCTCGACTTCGCTCTGTATTAGTAATACAGCTCCGATAGAGCGTCGCATCGATGCCAAGTTCCGTTCAAGTCAGCGTTCCATCAACGCTGTCCCTAGTGCTGATAGTGCCTTACCAATATAATACCATGCCGGCATGATTGAACAACGGTTACGATAAATCACGCCTTCTTCCAGTTTCGCTCGTTGTTCGAGTCGATTGCGTTTCCAAGAGGATAAGACGTACGAGAAGCCACGCGAGGCCAGAACCCTCGTTTCACGTGGCCCAGTGCTTGGTGTAGGAAGGCTCTTTAGGTGTGAAGACTCCTCTCCTCGCCCCGTCGGAACGGCGAACCACATCACGTCCCCTCCTTTCCTATGTTTTCTCCGCCTGCCCCTAGAGGGCGCCAAAACGTTCAGGCCGTCCAGTCGCCGGCTGCTCCACGGAACGTGGGCTAGTCACCCATTGCTTACGCTGCCTCTAATTGTTTCCAATTTTTTTTTTTTTTGCAATGGTGATTTGAGCATAAAAGAAATGTAAAAACCAAGATCCGAATTCGGAAATAGCCAAACGTTTGAATAAATACGCCGACTGCTCCTCAGCCTGGGGAAACGTAAACAATTTAGAAATGGAAAACAACGACATGGAAATATTAGTAAACAGACGATCAGGATAAAGACGTCTGCCGAATGCATCTCACAGGTCCGTTCACTTAAAGGGGCCCTGCAATCATATTTAAGCGTCTACCTTTTTTGCGGTTTCCAAGTCCCTTGGGGTTCGGGCAAGCCAGCGGGCACGGAGAGAGTAACTAAATATCAGTGCATCATATTTAAACCGGACGACGCGGAAACCTCCTCCACCGACGAGGGCGACCCGCGGTACCGAAAGCGCGCAAAATGTGACGTCTTTGGTCCTGGGCTTACTATTGGTCAGAGCCGCTAAAAGCTTTTTTTTAGTCGAAATACAAAATATAAGTGGCGCGACCTGTTTCAATTATTTATAAAAGTAGTTTTTGTTCAGTATTTTAGATCAGAAAAGAAACAAATGCAATTTATAAAGTACGGAAACAAGAAATGACCCGTCGACATACCCGCCACCAAGCGGTAAAAAAGGCGGCGCATACTAGAAAAGAGTAGTGGGATCAGGCGCCGACACGGAAAGGTGCCGGATGTACGTGACGGCGCTGCGGTCGTTTACGGACTGGAGGATCCGACCGGCTCCGAGTGTTCCGAAGGCATTCGACGAGAAGCTTTGTCTTGCGGTTTGGCCATTTCGCGGTATGGCAGCGCGAAGTGGCTCCCACTCTGAACTGATCTTTACCCCGTGTTTTCTGCCGTTTGTGCCAATGAAGTGTCATGCAGAATTAGTGCTTAATCGCGCAACAAATGCAATGAGAGCCGCTCTGGCTGCCCGTTGTATGCAGCCTATCCAGAACACGCTTTAGTGGCGCCCTCTCGCGCCGTCAACAGGGAGTGCGGCAGCCGTGTGCGCTCGCCCTGAGCTCACTATCTCTTTTCTAGTTCACGGCCACTCAAGCAACCAAGGACGTCATGAGGGAGGTTATTTTTTGCTTGTTTTTGTAATCTTAATGTGCCTATAACTTTTAAAATAAAGCGAAATTCGAGAAAAGAAAAGTTACATTAAGTTACTACGATTAGTGCGCTCAGGTTTGGTGCAAATTAAAAACCAGTAAAAAGTGCTTGCAGGGCCCCTTTAAGTACAGAGGCCGAAAATATTTTGCGGCTGACTGGTTTGAGAGAACAGGGATGACCTCGGGGTGTCGCGGTGTGTGTGTGTTGACAGGGGATTTGTCGCCAGCTCTGTGTTGGCGCCGTCTGAGCTTATCGTTGACTAGAATGTACGGGGGAACCTGGGAAAAGGAAGAGGGAAGGGGGTAGCGGTTTTGGGAAAAAGAAGACAAAAAGAGGGGGACCACAAATAAAGTTTGTAGCTGCGTTTGAGACTTCGTCCGTGTCGTTTTGTCTTTTGTCCGGTTATGAGTCGACGCCCAGCCTGGTCTCTCGAGTAGCATGGCTATCTCGCTGGCCTCCAACCTTTCTCGCGAACAACGTCCTAGCCAGACAGTCGAGGCAACAGATCGGGAAAACTTGACAGGACGCAAGACTGCTTTATTTACATGGTTATATCGTGTAACATATTGGCAAAAGGAGCGCACCGAATGGGCAGCCGGACAGGTTCTTATATAATAAAACTCGGGGTTCTGGAGCTGCCGTGCCATTGGTCGGTTAGTGCCGCATTCGAAAGCTGGCCTCGACGTCAGCAATCTCCTCTCGGCCCCGATGGTCGGTCGTTGTTCTCTCCGAATTGAAGGAACCTTGTAGAGGATTCTCTTGCACGCGGTAGACGCAGACACAACAGACTGCCCATCTGTTCAAAGTCGAATTCTGTTTGGCGTTCTCGTGGAATGCAGACGCCTCCGTTTAAGGCAGACGCTTCTCCGGTTTCAGTCGAACGTGCAAAAGGCTTCGGATCGCATGGGAATGCTACCAGGGGCGGATGCAGGAATTTCCTGAGAGGGGGGGGGGGGTGTCAGGAGTTGGTCAGCGTACCATATGTTTAGAAACCCCTTTCCTTTTCCTTTGTTTTCCGCTTTAAATTTTACACATGGGGAAATCAATAGGGGGTTCGGACATCTTTACCCCCCCCCCACCCTCTATATCCGCCTCTGAATGCGACAGTACTGCAAAGGAAAAAACCGAGATGCAAAGGAGCAGTCTCGATAAAAGAAAAAAAGAGCCCCGACTGCGCGACTCGTAATGTGCAGAAAGAACTCCAAAAGCAGCTATAGAGTGTGTCATATATTAAACAAATGTTTTAACAGCGTTTTTTTCTAGTTTTTTTTTTACAACGATTGTTTTTTTTATTTTTTGTGGAAATTTGTAATATTATTATTATTATACTTATATCAGGAAGTGCCATTAATAAAACCGGTTTGCTTTCCTTGACGAATGTGGTTACTATAAACGTTTGCTGCAATCTGCTACATGCAAGTGTAAGTGTACTAACAAAGTGAACATTTCAAAGAATCGAAGCTGCACGCCGAGCAGGCAGCTAGCACAGGTGGCCCGGTGCGCTGCCGGATGGCCTGCAGAGCCGTATATTGGGAGAGTTTGGCCAGTGGGTGTGGCGACGAAGGCGCCGGAGAGGAGAAGGAGCGAATGAAAGGGAGGAGAGCGCCGAAGGAGCGAGAAAGAAAGAAGGGAGCAGAGAGGAGACGACCGCCATTTTTGAGCAACCTTGTCGGAGACTGGTCGGAGAAGAGCACTGCTGAGGCTACGCGTCGTCTGCTACGGGCCGACTTCTTTTTCGCCTGAATAAACGCTTGTGGCCATACGCCGAAAAATCTTAATTTATTAGCTTTTTAACCCACCGAGGAATAACAGTATGTAATTTTCTTGCCAGAGCCAGCGATATAAAAGGAAATAATCGAGATTTAGATGCCGATCCCACGCATTCCGCCGGGAGAATGATCGAAGATGGCGACCCTCCCCACTCCTCCGCTGGGAGCAGCCGGGAGTTCACGCGCATGCGCTCATGCCTCTCGCTCTGCGCCGCGTGATGATTGGCTCACTCGGGAGGAGCGCGTCACGGCGGCGAGATCATAGACTGACCAAACTCTCCCCTACATACGGCTCTGATGGCCTGAAACTTACGGCGCCACCTGGGGGTGGCTCCGTGAAGCGAAGCGCGCGGGGTGTGGTCGCGGCGAAGAGCGGAGTCTCTACACCTTAAGTGCCTTCCTACACCGTGGCCCAGGGCCCAGTGCCAGGAAGAACGAAGTCTTTCCTTGATAAGCTCCTTCCGTTCGGCGTCTCCGTCGATTCCCGTCTCCGCCTCATTGTCTATAGGTTTCCGGGGCACTCCGAGCGGCTAAGTCGAGATTTGATCGCTGTTGTATGCTGCTAAATCGCAGTTTTTACCGGCGTCTTTTGTGCGAAAATCGACCGAATGAAACAAAACTGAAGAACGTCTACAAGCTTCCTTCGAATAGGAAACAACTGAAGCGAAATGTGAGTGTTTAATTATTCCCTTTCTTAGACATGGAGGCATGCTGCATGCCCGGTCTATAAGCGTAAGAATGAAAATATTTAAGACCCGTTCACACTCTTGCGATCGAGTAAGACCGAGAGAAACCATACCGGTTTTTAAGCCTATTGCGATCTCTTAGGATCAGCTCCGCTGCAGCGCATCCGGTCCTAAGAAGTCGCAAAAGGCTTAAAAACCGGTCTGGTCTCTCTCGGTCTTAATTACTAGGTCGCAAGAGTGTGAACGGCGCTTAAGCCCCTTCTTAAATTCACAAAGGAAACTAGCAGTACCCTCAACTTAGTAAAAAAAAAAAACAAAAAAAAAAAGCCGGGAGCAACTTATTATCACTTTGTAGGGAATGAGTCTGCAGCATTAGCAGATAACAATGCCAAATAACGAATGACAAAGCAAGGATCGTGAACGTTAGAAGCCGCACCCCTGTTTTTATAAGTTGTCATTGTATAATGGGGAGTTTTAGAATAACGCACGCAATTTTAGCCCACGCAAGCGCTCAATGTAGCGCCTGCTACGCAAGAGTTTTAGAATAGCGTTTCTCCGCAGCAACGCAAAAATCCTAAGCGCGTGCTTGCAACAACGCCACCAAGATACAATGGCAGTTTTTATTTCATTCACCAAATTCTGTACTTGGAAAAGAAAAAAAAAAAAAGAAAAAAACAGCGTTTTTGGTTCAATTTTGCCGGTCGTGTCCGCTTGCCTTGAATAGACAAGAGGGGTTTTGTGTAATGACCTTCGCACACGTGTGTCTGATTGCATATCTCGGCAAGAGGGGTATCGTGAACTGACCGTCGCGCACCGTTCCGTGGCCGAGAAACGCTCGCGCATTTGAAGGAGCAAGCTGCCGGCGATTGTTGCCGACCTTGCTGGGTCTTCCAAGCAATTTGTGGCGTGCACATCCCGTAAGACTGCAATGTCGTCCCAGCAAGCCCTGCCCTGCGCAAGAGCAAGCCCTGCCCAGCAAGCCCTGCCCTGCGCAAGAGCAAATTCAACCGCTTCTTTGGATGGCTGCCCTTTTCAATGATAACATAACAGCATACAAAACAAAAATCCCTTCTTCGGCAATTTTATTATCTAATGTCACAATCGCATTTGCTGCCAAGCGATAATGAGAGGTGTCGCTATCACTCTAAAAAGAGTCTGTGCGTTTACTTTCTCGCACAACACTCGGAGAGCCAATCCCCGCAACTTACGGAGGCAGCTCAGCGAATGACGATGCCGAAACATACGTTAAGAACAAAAAAACGCAGTCTGAGCTGTGACATTAAGCAATGCAAAACGTCACGCTTGCATTGCTTAATGTCACAACTCAGACTGCGTTTTTAATCTAAACATATGTTTCGACATCGTCATTCGCTGAGCTGCTTCCGTAAGTTGCGGTGATTCGCTTTCCGAGTGTTGTGCGAGAAAGTAGAGGCACATACTTTTTTTTAGAGTGTACAACCTGCGTTTCTTTACTATACGGCGCGCAAGTGTTCGAAAATGTGTCCTTGGCGCATCGAAGCGCAGGGAGAGGAACACCAATCAAAGGGCAGCGTAGAGAACTCGCAGGGAACGCGCGGTGACGAAGTTGCCAAGCAAGCGCCGTGACTGGTTGGTTGAGGTCCGGGGGAGAACAAAAGCAACACGGGCGCATCTCGAGGGTAAACATAAAAAAGCAAACGTAAAACGTCCGAAAAGACGAGACGAACTTGACGTCGTATCATACATTCTCAGGAACCTGAAGCATCTACTTTCCCTCAAAGTGCCATGGAAGAACCAATCGCTGCAACATGCAGGGGCAGCTGGGCGAGTGGCGATGCTGAAACTATACATCTAGACCTAAAAAAATGTATCGCAAATCTGTCGCCAGTCGCGTACGTGAAGCGTTCTACTAGCATCACGAACTCTGAGTTTCCCGAAGCTAGACGCCTACGTTATCGGCACTCTTCATCAGATAGTTTAACGAGTACCTTGTGCACACTCGGTGGTTGTTCCTAGAATAAAGCGATACTACCGCTAATCGAGCTAAATAAACCTGGCGATCTTCCAGAGTGACGAAAATAATCCCTTGAGAAGGGGAACAAGAGGGACAAAGGACAAACACAAATCTCCAAACGCAGTTAAGTGACTGGTGCGCGACTGAAAAAATCCGCTTGGTCCGGGTATCGAACCCGGGACCTCTCCATTACAGTGCTCTACCAACTGAGCTAACCACGGGTTAGATGTCAGTAGAGCAAACGGGTTTTATCAGCTGCCACCAGTCTAACACCAACAGGGGTGAAGCTTGCAATTTAAGGTTATGATCCATTGTCCCTCTTGTTCCTCTTCTCCAAGGATTATGTTCGTCATTCTTGTCCAGCTTGCTTGCACCTTTGCATTTAATTGCATTATAATCTTACAAAGCCTTCCATACTCGCGAGCTCCTCTCCCTCAGTGCGCACATGTGGTCGAGCTCCTCCTCGCCTACCCCTCTGGTCACTTGAGCTCCCCGTTAACCAATCAGCGTCCCGAGCACCTCACTCCTCCTCTCCCACGCGTCAACCACTCAGTGTGGAGCGTCGCGGCCACGCTTCTTTCCAGGCTTCACGAAATGCCTAGGCAAAAAATGTTAAACGTTTAAAAAAAGTCTTTGATGCGGTCTCAAGTATGACGTTGCACCAAGCTAAGTGCAACAACGCAAACTATTTTGCTTCTCAGCAAACTAGTTTGTGCTGTGGTACCCAGCATGGGGAAGCGTCATGCCCAAATTCACGATTTTTTTATGTCTAAGCATACTTTTTGTCTCGTCATTGGCTAAGCTGCCCCCTTATAGGTTGCTGCGTTTGGCTTTCTTAAGTGCTTTGTGGAAGAGCAGATGTTCCAGACTTCTTAGAGTGAAGATATATTTTAACATGCAACCGATATCCTAGTTACACGGTTTCTACGCCGGACAGCAATCGCTCGTCATATCGAATCTAGAAAAACTATATATCCGGAACTGCGCGCGGCACGGAGCCCCCAAGCAGTCTCCGAAAAACCGCGAGAGAGTATTGGCTATTTTCATCGCGTGTTTTAGAGCGCAGCTCTTAGGCGCCCGTTTCCGGCTTGAGCGGCGTCGGCGTCGGCGTCGGCGTTGCCGTCGCCGTCGGCGTAACCGCGCGGTGCATTATGGGTACATTTTCCCGAAGGAACCCGAGGTCCTCCCGAAGGACCTCGGGTTTTTTCGGGAGGACCTCGGAAGAACCTCGGGTTCCTTCGGGAGGACCTCGAGTTCCTTCGCGTGGACCTCGGAGGACCTCGGGTTCTTTCGGGAAGACCTCGGGTTCCTTCGGGAGGACCTCGGAAGAACCTCGGGTTCCTTCGGGAGGACTTCGGGAGGACCTCGGGTTCCTTCGGGAGGACCTCGGGAGGACCTCGGGTACCTTCGGTGACCTCGAGGAGGGGGTCACGTGACCCCCCCCCCCCCCCCGAGGTCACGTGACCACCTCCTTGGGGTGACATGACCCCCCCCCCCCCCCGAGGTCATGTGACCCTCCCCGAGGTCACGTGACTCCCCCCCCCCCCCCCCCCGAGGTCACGTGACCCTCAGTACCCTTCCCTCCTCCTTATCAAGAGCTGCGCTCTAATTCGGCGTCACAGGGAGTTGTAAACGGCTTTCATTTTTTAAAACCTCCGAATATCTGATTCGCTCGAGAAAGCTGGCGAGCAAACCTGCCGCTATAGCTTTCAGTTTTAGCCGTTAAGTGCCGTCGATTTAGCAGAATTTGCCAATATCGAAGACTACACGCACGTACATTTAGCAGCATATTCTTATTTTTGTGCGTTTTATGAGTATGCAAAGAATCACAGGGTTAGCGTTTGTATACACTTTTGTCTTCTTTTTTTTCTCTCTTTTATATAGAAGTACCTACGTTTTCTTCCAAACAGGATGTTCGAATGGACGCTACAGGAACTCGCCAAGTCGTCACCTACAGACCTTGTGCTCGGTCTGTTGTGCTTGACCCTAAAATGGAGTGTTTGGATGTGCGCATCCTTTGCTCTACTTCTGGTGGGTTTCCTTTCGATCGCCTGGTGGATACAGCGAAGGACGTTAAAACAACTGGAGCACTTGCCTGGAAGAAGGGAGATGCTGCCGTTCCTGAGTCACTACATACTTTTCAAAGCATGCTCCCAGCCTGAAAATCCGGCGGGATTTGGCCCATGTAATATCACTTTTTATTGTCTTGTATGCCCGAATCAGCCAGCTTCCCTGTGCCGTGGTAGATATGCGATGAAATGCCATATAGGCTTTGGTAATCTGCTCGGAATTCCTGCCCACATTTGGATTCGTAGTGTTCACACAATATTTTGTTTTACAGTGACAGTAATAATTATTTACTATAATTCATTTGTTTAAAAGTACCACACACTAAAACTCCTTAAGTGTTCCTTACATTGCTCCCTATTCTATACCTTGAGGGATGTTCCATGTGAAAGCCAGCGCGCCCGCTGGCTTTCACATGGAACATGGAGAGTCAATCATTGGAATTTATAAAAGAAGTTCGGAGAATGAGGACGTCGTTATTTTGCGAACCTCTTCTATAGATTGCAGTGATCAACTCACGGAATTTTCTATGCGAAAGCAAACGCAAGAACTCATTTCTCAAGGTATAGAATGGTCAATAATGTAATAAGCACGTAGGCAGTCTTATGTGTGTGACACTAGAAAACGATCAACTGAACTTGAACGTTATCGCTGCTACACGGACCTACTGATACGAATGTGACATAGGTATAAATTCGCCCTGAACGCCATTAAGCCAAAGGCTTCTTTATCGGGGTGTAATATTAATGAAGATTGCAATCTTAGCGTCATAGTCGTAAGGTGTAGTTATCAAATATTAACTGACCGGCTCGTTCAAATGGTATTCGAACTTCAGTTTGGGTTACTTTCAGTGGCCTTCAGCGCACTGTGTGGGTTCCACGCCTGCTTCCAAAGGTACGGCATGCACAGAGTGTATGCTGGCCTCCAGCCGGTCGTTATAATCTACAGAGCTGACTTTGTAGAGGTACGATCCCAAGCCTTTTTCTAATGCGGAATTCAACTGAGCAAAATAATAACAAAACCTTTATTTTCACCGTCACGACGATAAATGACATTTAAAATATCTTCTTCTCCTAGGAACTGCTTCGAAGCAACAAGATATTAACAAAGGGGTATGTGTACAATTTTGTGCATAGTTGGCTGGGGACCGGCTTACTGACAAGGTGTGTAAATCGTAGCATTTTGTTCGCATTTACGGGCGCGTTAATGCCGTCTGCGTAATGTTAATTTTCGTTCAAGTCAGAAGTACACCCGCGAGCGATGTGATGGTGAACAGCCGTCCTCTTGTTTTTGACGCTCCTGCAAGTTTTGGATCAAGCTCTGTTCCAGAAGAGGGCTAGAACGCAAAGTTCCGACCCTAAGCCACGTACCATTTGAGACGTTGAGAGTTAATATAGCTTTAGGGCAAGAAACCAGGTAAGGTTTTTCACCTTCATGTTACCGGCGGGTGTACATGCTTTCGTGGCACAATAAACCTTGAGTTGACGCCCATGCATTATAGTCGCACATGATTCTACTTGATATGCTACGATGACGTTGGGGAACCAACTCTGATTTGAACGCCAATACACGTTAATCCATGTCATGTATTTGCGAAGTTGCCATACTGTCCTGGCTCTAGAATAACTGATTAAAATTAAATGTACCGTAATAGGATTATGCTAACCACATACGATAAAATGGACGTGATTTATTTATTAATTTTAAGAACTTCTCTCTTTGTATTTTTGTTAGTCATCTTCGTAATTGTTTTTCAACCAATTTGCTTTCAAGTTCGGACAGTACCAAGTAGTCCATGCGCAAGTCTTGGTTTGTCCAATTGCTGCTATGATTTTATATGTAAAATAATTATTGGTGATTATGACCCGGTGGTGAACTTAATTTTTGACAGGCGTTTTATTCAAGGCAGCGTCTATATCCTATATCAGACTTTTAGTTAAGAAGAAGAGTAGAGTAGAATAAAATCGTACGCCGAAAAGTAAGCTCAGTTTATTGCGTTATAAGTAATATGGTATTCTTGAATATAGGCTGAGTATAAACGATTCAATTATTTTATGCCTCCGAGCGGGACAGCGTACAGTGAATAAAGCCCATACTGTTAAAGTTAAAGTGTTGTACCTAAGTTATACCTCCACTCCTTCCATTGCCGTCAAACACCAACTCCACGTGTGGTATACCTCCCACATCAAACAGTTACATTCAATATTCTGCCACACAATGTGAGCGGTAATTAATTATCTTATGTTATGTTTGCTTTTCTCGAGCAGTACAGGAGAGAAGTGGAGGTCGCGAAGGCGGCTTTTTACGCCAGCGTTTCATTTCCGAATCCTGGAAGATTTCACTTCTGCAATCAACACCCAGTCTATGGTTCTTGCGGATATCTTGGGAAAGAAGTCACTTGACCACAATGGGGTTGACATTGTCCCCAAAGTTACTCTCTGCACCCTAGACATAGTCTGTGGTAAGGCCTTTGATGGATTTGTTCCTTAGATGTACACTGCGCGACACAGTTAATGTGAAGAAGCCATTTGTGATTTTATGAGTTTTACTCAGAGAGGCTTTGGGCAGGCATCAGGCATAATGATTCGCGTTGTTGGCCAAATCAGCGCTTTCCATCTCACTGGTGGTTTTGATGAGAGCCTTTGAATCCAAGAACAGGAAAGCGAGCATGGCGATTCTTGGTTTATGATAATGTGTTAGGCCAGTGTTTCTCGAACTATTATTTGCGACCCTAAACGGAGGTCGCGACAAATTCAGCGGGGGTCCCGAAGAAGCTCAGGAGCTTGAATTAATGAGGATTAACTTGACTTCGCTGCGATAAAGTTGATGAAAACTAAGTACTGAGAGTCGCTGCGTTCAAACTCCGCACTCGTTTTTAGAAACTCGGATTTAACAAACAGATTCATTTTTGTTGAGGAAGGGTCATCCCTGCTGGCATACGTTTTGGGCGATCGTTTCTAGCTCCGCTGATTAACAGTTTAACTGTCATATAAAATTTCAGCGTCAATTACATGTATTGGTTGCTACGTAATATTTTCTATTTTTGATAGGTCTAGAAGATTTTGGGAAGAAATGTGTTATGAATTGTACAACTCGATAAAGAAAAATTAATGTTCTGCGCCTCTCTGTTTTCTGTGAAATTAAAATAGAAATAACAACTTGGTGCAATCTCAAGTTAGTATATATCAGTAAAAATGCTTGCACATTCCGTGTATGTTATTTTTTAGGTCGTACAAACATGTACCTAATGTATTTCCACCTTTCAGAAACCATCATGGGAAAATCTCTTAACGCTCAAAACAATGAGGACTCGGCTTACGTGAAAGCTCTCATTCAGTACGTTGTGTTTCATGTCAATTTCATGCTTCAAAGAAAATCTTCCGGATTGGAGTGGAGACTAGATCGTACGAAATAAGGCAGACGATTTGGTGAACCATTACCATAGAAAACTGTAAAACAGGACGAAGAAATAAGATAAAACTGACGAAAGCTGCTAAAGTGCCAACATGTTGGCACTAATGCCTCAGGCGTCAATGTCGCTTTCTTTCTTCTTTTTTTTTTTACCTTCTATCGTGCCTTTGCTAGATATTCATTACGCCTCAGTAACCTTAATATTTCTGCTTCAGACAAACTTGCCACCCATGTTTCGTGATCATCTTCAATGACTTTTAGAGGAGATATAAGTAATACGCTTCCAGAAAACTGATTTCCATGTACAGGCCGTACTATCAATGGGAAAATATAGCAAGCAATGCCTCCTACTTCAGGTTGAGCGAGCTGTTCTTGGAAAGGACGATAACGCCGTTTGCAAATTACGAAGGTTTCTTTAGGATGACCGCAATGGGAAAACAGTATAATCACTGCCTCAGTGTACTGCACGCATTCACGAGAAAGGTGAGTTCCATAAACTATATCACTACCTACGTTATTTTATGGATCATTTCTACCTTAAATATTAAAGCTGGGGTGCCGTTGCCGTGAGCGGCTTCTGCTCAGTCTAAGCGATGATCAGACTGCAAAATAAATTCTCGATATTAACGTAACACGTTTGCCGCAGGGGATACTTTTATCTTCGTTGTTGATTGATTAATAAATTAGAGATGGCGCATTGATTATAGTTCTCCTTCAAATAACCGTGTCTCTTTATTCAGTGCGGGAAGAATAACCGCCCGCCCCAGTCTAGATTTTTAGCTTCATCGGAGTCCCGCGTTGTTATTACAGGTAATTGGAGAACGAAAAAAAGACATGATGGCCACTATTGACACCGGCTCCATTCTTGGCAACGAGGATGAGAATGGGTCTAATTATAAGAAAATGAAAATGCCTTTCCTCGACTTACTTCTTCTTGAACACTTCAAAGACCCCAAAAACATCACGGAGGAAGACATCCGGGAAGAGGTGGACACGTTCATGTTTGCGGCAAGTTGTCGTGGCATGTCTTTTCGTCCCGGAATAACGTGTGTGACGGGCTTTGGCGAGCAGAGATCCTACGTAATGTTTACCGCAATCTCTAGACTGACTGCCCGCTCACGGTGAATAGATAAAAGGAAAATATTTTGAGGTGGTTGATGTTGGGAGGTGGGCGTTCTTTCGGGATTTTACGGTATTTCATTGAAGTTTGATGTAACAATCATAAGGCAACCAACAGCGCTCTGAATATGAGCATATGGGTGTTTTCATCTCAACTCAAGCACGGTTTTCTAAACATTTTTTTTTTAATTTTGATTAAAACAATTAATGTTTCGGCAGCATTCTTGAAATAAAATACAGTGTAAACGGCAAGTTTGGCGGATTTTTTTTTTTCTTTCATGTTATTGGTTATTGAAGCGGCCGAGGCGAAAACTGACGTTTCTTCAGCTAGTCAGAGAGGGCATGTTTGACCACTCGCTGTCTTGTCACTTATAAAACTATTGCACCAAGAGTCTTTGGCGACAATTTCAAAGTATTTTTGTTGTGCTATTGAAATAAGTTTTTTTTTTATATTTTGGAATACCTTCCTCTTTTTAATGTCGAACTGTGTTTCTTTCGTTATTTTTGGCAGCGTTTGGCATTTTTTTAAGCGTTACCTACTTAAGATACTTTAATTAACTTGATATCGTAAGAAAGCCTAAACTTAGTCCTTTTTATTCGTTTTAAATTTAATATTGTATGTAAAAGAAAACATTTGCTACATACATTTGAATTAACCAATATTTCAAAAACCGCCAGTCATCGGAGCCAACCAAAGTCCACGTCAGATTCCGTGACCCCAGGAACGTCACGTGAAGAAGGCGCAGTAACGTTCACAGAGTTGGATCGGCCCAGATGGCCAGCAATGCACGCCGCGGAAGGACGCAAAGCCAAACAAAACATAGTCAAAAAAAGAAAGAGGAATTAAATAAGCGCGCACAGTAAATAACGCCAAAAACGCATAGAAAAAACCCCTGCATAGAAAAAGAAAAGGTGAAATAAGCGCACACAGTAAATCAACGCCAACGCGCATAGACAAATGCCCTGAATTAAAAAAAAATGACTGAAAAAAGCGCACACAGTAAATCAAGCAAACGCTCTTCCAAAGCGCATAAACAAATCCCCTGCAAAAAAAAAAATCGTAAGTATAACAGTGTTAACCACAGTCCCAAACATTCAACAAGGAGCAACAGGTGGGAGATGCCTGTTGAAGGTCATGACCCGTTGGCTCATCGGCAGGTTATACAGAAAGGTACACGGAAAAATTCAAGGGTTGAACGAATAGGATTGAATTAGCTACAATCACTCCGCTACAGGGCGATCAAGGTAGATTGCATGCATAGATGACATTATACCTGGATCTCCATAAATACTGGCCAGGATTGAATTAGATTTGTAAATAAGATACGAATCTCTCTGGGGCTCGCGATCACGGTTGCTTTTGAAATTGGATTGTAAAAATGTAAAGTCCAGTTTGTCAAACGTGTGTTTGGGTAAAGCCATATGTTTTGAAAGGGGGAGTTTGGGAAAATGAATTTACATGCGCCCTGTGATTGTTAAACCTCAATCAGAAAGGTGTGCTGGTTTGGACCACGTACTGCTTACCGCAGGTGCCACATGTGAGGAGGTATATCACATTACTTGTGCCGCAGTTTATTAAGTTTCCGTGGATAATGGAGGTGAAATTGGAATTTGTACTCCCTACCGTGGTTTTATGTGTCACGTGTTGACACACCTCGCAATTTGTTCTTCCACAAGGGCGACTGCCAGTACTTCCAGTGTAGGTTGTCTTAGACCTAACTATGGCGTCCCTAAGATTGCGTGAGCGTCTGTAGACTACTCGGGGAACGGAAGGGATAATCCTTGCGAGGCGTTCACTCTGTTGTAAAATGTTAAAATGTTTTCTTAATATGGGTGCGACATTCGGAGATTATTGTTGAAAGTGAGTACGAGGTTCGCCCACCGCTCCTCTGTCTGAGGGCTCCGTTCGCTCAACAAGAGGTCACGATCAAGGACCTGTGCCTTATTGATCGCATCATCTATGATCTTTTCCGGGTATTTCTGTTCTCTCGGGAATTTGGGTAATTGATCGGTGTTTGTTTTAAAATTCGTCGTTGTTTGAACATGTACGTTTATACCTATGAGCCTGACTATAAAGTATGCTATTTTTGCAGTGCCGTGGGTGGCAGCTGTCGTAGTGCAAGTATTTCTGACGATCCGTAGCTTTTCGGTACAGTTGAGTAGCCAATTTAGAGTCATTAATTAGCACTCTTGTTTCTAGAAAGGTAATTTCAGATTTTGAGTAACTATGTTTTACACATAGTTACTCAAAATTTAAAATCTAAAAAATCGCCCTGTAGCGGAGTGGGTGTAGCTAATTCAATCCCATTCGTTCAACCCTTGAATTTTTCCGCGTACCTTCCTGTATAACCTGTCGATGAGTCAACGGGTCATGACCTTCAACAGGCATCTTCCACCTGTTGCTCCTTGTTGAATGTTTTGGGACTGTGGTTAACACTGTTATATTTACGATTTTTTTTTTTGCAGGGGATTTGTTTATGCGCTTTGGAAGAGCGTTTGCTTGATTTACTGTGTGCGCTTTTTTCAGTCATTTTTTTAATTCAGGGGATTTGTCTATGCGCGTTGGCGTTGATTTATTGTGTGCGCTTATTTCACCTTTTCTTTTTCTATGCAGGGGTTTCCTCCGTGCGTTTTCGGCGTTATTTACTGTGTGCGCTTATTTAATTCCTTTCTTCTTTGTTGACTGTGCTTTGTTTGGCTTTGCGTCCTTCCGCGGCGTGCGTTGCTGGCCATCTGAACCGATCCAACTCTGTGAACGATACTGCGCCTTCCGCACGTGACGTTCCTGGGGTCACGGAACCTGACGTGGACTTTGGTTGGCTCCGATGACTGGCGGCGTCTGCTGCGGCCGTGCGTGGAGAGCGGGGGGGGGGGGGGGGGGGGGGGGGGTACAGCAGCGTTTTTTTTAGAGCGCAGCTCTTAGGGGCCCGTTTCCGGCTTGAGCGGCGTCGGCGTAACCGCGAGGTCACGTGACCCCCCCCCGAGGTCACGTGACTCACCCAGGTCACGTGACGCCCCTAGGTCACGTGACCCCCCCGAGGTCACGTGACTTCTGGGGTCACGTGACCTAAGGGGGTCACGTGACCTAAGGGGGTCACGTGACCCACCCAGGTCACGTGACACCCCTAGGTCACGTGACCCCCCGAGGTCACGTGAACCCCTTGAGGTCACGTGACCCCCAGAAGTCACGTGACCCCTTGAGGTCACGTGACCCCCCTGAAGTCACGTGACCCCCTTGAGATCACGTGACCCCCTAAGGTCATGTGACCCCTTCAGGTCACGTGACCCCCGAGGTCACGTGAGCCCCCGAGGTCACGTGAACCCTGAGATCACGTGACCCCTTAGGTCACGTGACCCCCTGAAGTCACGTGACCCCCTTGAGGTCACGTGACCTCAAGGAGTCACCTATCCCTCAGTACGCTTCCATCTTCCTCCTCAAGAGCTCCGCCCTAACCGGCGTTACAGGGAATTGTAAACGGCTTTCATTTTTTACTTGGGCTCTTTTACTTGGGCATTTGTACACGTGATCTGACAGGTGGCGTGGCCCGGGTGTGGAAACCGAAAACAACTTTAACCGATTCTGGCTACCAGTCTTGAAGAAGGCCTGTCTCAGGCCGAAACGTCGACTCACTAAATGCTTCACAACTCCAGCAACGTTTCGAAGTGCGACTTCATTACTTTATATATATATACTAATTGAAAAATAAGGTGATTAAAAAATTGGGCTTTTGAAAGAATCGATTTCGAATTTCTTAGGTGCTGAAATTATAAAGCGCAAGGGACAACCACGGTCATGAAGTAAACAGGACAGCGCTATTTCTCTCTACTTCATGTCCCTGTCTGTCCGTTGCGTTTTATAATTTCAGTATGTTGAACCAAGGAGCCCACCTTAATATTTTAGTAGAATTTTCTAGGTTTTCGAGACATTCGTATACTCAAAAGTATAATACAGACTCTATATATACGATATCAAATCCGTATGGAATTTCTGGTGATATCAAGGTTCTTACAGAATCTTAAATAGTTTACACCGTAAGAGCTTGCCAAATTTTGCCATAAAACATCAGCGGAATATGGTCCAAATCTTTTTTTAATATGCCGAAATACAATACAATTTTTCCTAACTAATTAGGCGTAATTAAATTTATTCCGCGAGCGTCACAGATGAGTTCTGGTTCAGCAGTGTGAGATGTGAAAAAATAGTGTGCTGTCAAACATGCGATCCCCGACAGGTGTAAGAAACGTCAGTTTTGGCCTCGGTCGCTTCAATGATCAGTAACTTAGAAACAAAAAAATCCACAAAGCTTGCTGTTTGCACGGTCTTTCATTTCAAGAATCCGGTTAGGTGCTTTGCGTTCTTCACCCCGACGGACCTGCGAGACAATACCGATCCGCGGCTTGAACTGGCGTTACATTAGCGACCATTATGGTGATCTTACTGCTGAGCCTACACTTTTAACAGCGCGCATTTTGCAATTTTTCACCATCGAATTAGTCTTTTTTGGCAAGAACAAGAAGGAATATACCACCAGCAGGATACGATGATGTCACGTGGAAGACATGTATAGCGTTTTGCCTCGAATCTTCCTTCGCATAAATATCCAGCTTACTATACTCCGTTTCACCTTATGTTGTACCCCAGCGAAGGCTAGAAGCGCGAGCTCACAGCTTTGGCAGCTGCCCTTAATGCACGAGAGCTTGTGTCGCCGAGATGTGCCCCAGAGCAAGGAACTCGCACTTGTAGCCTTTCCTGCGGTACATCATAAGGTGAAACAGAGTATAGACCTCTTTCCACTAGACGCCGTCGGTTCAACCTTGCTGTTTTGTACGTAGTTTGTGCCATATTTTGTTGGGTGGATGCAGGCGTTTGATGCGGGTTGTATTAAGTCGTTTTAAAACACCGACAGCATTGTGTACACGTTCCCTTTTCGACAACTCCGAGAAGGCCTGTTCCTCAAATCCGGAAGAAGGAAAACATCACGACGTCAAACATGACTGCGGCAAATTTGGTTCATTCTATGTTCGCTTTCAGGGTCACGACACAACCGCCATGGGCATAAGCTGGGCGCTGTTTCTGATAGGCCACAGCCCTGAAGCGCAGCAGAAAATACACGACGAACTGGATTCCATCTTCGGGGACGACACAGAGCGGCACGTCAACCACGAAGACATGAAAGAGATGCGCTATCTGGAATGCGTGATAAAGGTTACTGATATTTTCGTTTCAACCAAACTGCTGGTCCGTGATCATAGTCTTCTAAGTGCCATGAAGTGTGCATAAAAGTTTATTTTTTGTATACTTAGGAGTCACAACGAATCTACCCTTCTGTGCCATTCTACTCAAGGCTTTGTGAGGAACCTTTTGAACTCTGTGAGTTACCACATGATATTCAAGCAATACTGCCCTTAGTAGGCAGGCAGCGTTCGAGGTAGTTTAGAGAAAAAAAAAAAAAAAAAAAGCCAGAGTGGAAAGGCTGCCGCCATCTATGAGCGACAGCGGCAACCAGATACGTTGCTTGCCGCCGTCGCGCATAGATGGCAACAGGTGTCCAGAGTTCGGTGTCTTCATTTCTTTGCGGGGGACACGGTCCTGGGAAAACACCTCCGCTGTAAAAAAAAAAAAAAAAAAAATAATAATAATTTTGGCAGTTCTTTTGTGAGTCTTCTCGAACAAGGTATCTAGACGTCTAGTTCGAAAAGTCTAACAAAACGTCTGCCAGGTTTGAAGCGTTTGTCCTGTAAACTACCTTGGACGCTTTGATTACCTCCAAAATGTGATTTAATTACAATTACATCTACTTCACTCCAAAAGTAGTTTAACTACAATGAATTACTACTATATGAAAAGTAATTCAATGCAATTACAAATTACTTTTAAGAAGTAATGCAATCATTTTGTAATTACTCATGTTTCACAGCGACCCCACTTGGGCCGTATAGCTTTAAACGAGTTGTTTACAATCCAGTGTATTTGTTCATTCCTCGTCCAATGTATTAGGAGGCTTAATCATCGCTGCATAAATGTCACGTATTCTACTTTCCTTTTGTGAATTTTGTTAAATTAATGATAGAACTTGACAGTTTGGAGTAACAAAGTCCTACATTATGATATTTTAAATAAATAATTAAAGTTAATTTACTCGAAGACGCCAGATCGCTAAAGAAAATTGAGTTGACACACTTTTATTATCCAGCCAAATAAAAATGCAAAAAATTAGTCGTATCTGAATATTTGAAGTGTTAATGTAAAACTACATTCCACACGTGCTACTATGACCACATTAGTGTACAAACGTTCCATGTTATTGGCAATTGTTTACATTGAGTCGAAATTATAATGGCTCAGAGTAATATATAAGAACCGAATCGGGGCTCCCGAAGCAATGGTGACAATATTCACATTTAGGGACCATTCTCCAACATGCTTATGTAAATAAATCCGAAGTCAAACCAACAGCAAATAAACTTGAAAATACAAACAAAAATGGGACAGTACTGGAAGAGGAGCGTAAAAGAAAACTGGCAAAACAAATACACATAACTTCATAGACAATTAAAATTACCAACCTCGGCTGAAAGCTGAAGCTGGATTTTGTTTCTTTCGATATTTTGGCATGTTTAGACTATTTATTGTTTCCTGCTCACACCGCAGACGGTGCGACACGGTGTTGTCGATGTAGGCTGCAAAGGTGATTGTCTCTCAGCCCGCAGTGTAAGCAACAAATTAACAAACAGTGCGACGCTATTTCTATCTTGCGTGCGTGTGTGTGGTTGTCTATGAGTCCGAGTGTGTCACCGAGCGCTAAGCCGCTTGCGCGAGCGCTGAGGCTTTCAGAGAGGTTCCGTCGGCGCCGCAAAGTCTCGCGAAAGTAATTGTAATTGTGCCTGAAATTCTGCAATTACTGATGCTAGAAAGTAATTAAATTACAATTACAATTCATTTTAGCCGAAAGTAATTACTCACAATTACAAATTACAGAGAAAGTAATTCAATTACCGTAATTCAATTACTGTATTTTAGCAATTACCCTTTTCATAACGGTGTCACTGCTGACAAACATCTCGTATAAGCAGATCTTTTGTGTTTAAAATGGCTGTTGCAGTTTGCTTCTCAATAGTGCGGAAGTGATAATATACAACTACCTCCAGTGTCACTCCCGAATGACTTCTGCCATTTGTTTTTTGTTCCTCGAAATATTAAAAACTTAGTGTCTAAATAAAGCTGCATGATTCTTTTCTTCTTAATTCTAGCTAAGAATGTTAGCGCATCGGGCGATAAAGTAAGCTCTTGAACTACACCTGAAGTATTTTTTTTATAAACTACGCAGTTTGAGCAGTTTATTAAACAGTGAGGACATGAGATCTTCGTGTTTGTAAAGTTAAAATTACGAGAATTTAACCACCGAATGACTAGAAGTCGCCAGTCTTAAAGCCTGTGTTTGATTCCGCCGGCTTCTTTAAGTCGATACTGCATTTTGAAGTAAGTTGAACCTGTGTACTAATTTGTAAAACGCCTTCAATTCTCAAAAGGTGGCACGATGCTCCCCAAAGAAACAGTAGTTCAAGTGTCGAACTACTTTTTGCATCGGGATCTCAAAGTGTTCCCAAAGCCTGAAGAGTTTTGCCCAGACAGGTTTCTTCCCGAGAATTCGAAGGGAAGGCATCCTTTCGCCTACGTCCCTTTCTCGGCAGGTCCTCGAAACTGCATCGGTAAGGTCGTTACTCTGTTCCGCATCATGAGCAAACACTTCTCAACATAATTTTATGTTTTATTCACAGGTCAGAGGTTTGCGATGTCCGAGGAGAAGATCGTCATTGCCAACATCCTGCGGCGATACAAGCTTCAATCCCTTGACCACAGAGATCAAGTCTGTTTAGTCGCCGAAATGGTTCTCAGGCCTAAAAATGGCCTCCGAATCAAGTTCCTCCTCAGGTCATCTCCGAAAAGTACTTGAATGGCTATCAGTGGGCAAACAAAATCATGATCACGGTTGATGCTCTATGTAGCTCAGTGTCACGCTGTTAATATTAACCTAAAAAAATATATATATTTCCTCTTTCGAGCGCAGCTCTTATGCGGCCGTTTCCGGATTGAGCAGCATCGGCATCGCCGTCGGCGTCGGCGTAACTGCGTGCGTTGCATTATGAGACGTCACAGCCTCCCTGCTAAATTTACCGCGGAAACTGAATTTGTGTTGAGGCCATGTGACGACAGTTTTACCGCTAAATTTAGCGGGGAAACCTAAATTTAGAGGGGATATTGACGCCACGTGACCTCAGCACCAATTCAGTTTCCACGCTAAATTTAGCGAGGAAAGCGACGCACGACTTCGTGTCACGTTACCCATGAACAAATTCAGCAGGAGGACGGGAGGGGGAGGGGGAGGAGGGAAGAGGAGGGGGAGGGGAGGAGCAGAAGCGAAAGGAGGAGGACGAGGAGGTGGAGAGTTAGGAGGAGGGGAGGGTACAGAGGAGGGGCATACCGTCGATTCCCTCTGTACCCTTCCCTCCTCCTCAAGAACTGCGCCCTAGTTTCGCATTACTAAAATTTTTAAACGCTTTTCTTCTTTCTTTTTTTTTTATTTATTCATTTTTTTTTTGGGGGGGGGGGGGGGGGCAGTTTAGAAAGTGTTTAAACGATAGCCTCCCGAGAGGCCCTCCTCTCTTGCTGCCACGATCGGAGGCACATCCCGTTGCACTGCCAAGTGTGCTAGTGTAAACCGTCTTCTGGTGACGCTACAATTTTAGGAAGAAACAAAAAATACAGTGACGAGAGAAGTGCTCGAGACTTTCCACACTGTCACCAGTGCGTAAGTGAGGCGTCTATAGCATTTTCATAAACAACGAAGTGATTCTCTTTCCGCCCGAGAGTGGGAGGTTTATTACGAGCTCATGCGGCGGCTATGGGTGAGATAAGGCGAGGGGTTTGACACATGTATGACTGATAGACTATAGTGCCTGTTTGGGTTCATTCCTTTCTTTTTTCGTCTTTTCTGCTTCGAGCAATAAAGTTTTCAGTTGAGAGTCGGCGTTCGTCCTGTCTGCGCGTTTGTTTTGCTCCGTCCGTGTTCTTTTTCTTTTTTTTTTTTTCTAGCTGAGACTCGTTTAAATTGACATATGTGTACTATTGGGGAAAAATGAAATGCGAATAGAGGAGCGCGTGGCTCGCGGTACAGGCTGCGCAGCCTGGAAGTGAGCCTAGGGGCGAGGGTGCGTGGCCTACTTCGATGTGTTCACGCCCCTCGATTGGCGCTCGCCCAGCTTCGGCAGTGCGCCTCTCAGTGCGCTGAAAGCTGTCACCGCTATCTTTGCCTGCTCGGCGAGTGCAGCGAGCTTCTTTGCACGCGCTGAGCCAGCAAAGATAGCGGTGATAGCTTTCAGCGCACTAAGAGGCGCTCTGCTGAAGCTTGGGGAGCGCAGAGGGAGGGGCGTGAACACGTCGGAGTAGGCCACGCACCCTCGCTCCTAGGCTCACTTCCAGGTGGCGCAGCCTGTACCGCGAGCCACGCGTTCCTCTGTTCGCATTTCATTTTTCCCCGATAGTACATATATATACACAGCAGTGAACAAAAATATATGATATTTCGGTTTTACGTGCGTAACTTTCCTTCGAACTGTGATACAGATATAAAAATTTAATGGAACACTACATTAACGTATTTATAGAGTAGAAACTGATGCTTACTTAAATATGAATCAATCAACTAGACGTCGAGCAATACTTCTGTGAAACAAAATATCATATATTTATGTTCACTACTGTATATATATGTGGGACGTACCGCTCGGCTTGCTTCTGCGGCGTCTTCTCGTTGACGCCGGTGATGCCGTTGCTGTACTCGAGCGCCTTCTGGCGCCAGTAGTGGTAGTCCCGATCTGACAGCCTCTGGCCCTTCATGGCGTCTATCGTGATGATGAGGGGCGGCTGCTCCTGCGCAGGGATTGAAAGGGACTTCGTTTCACTCCAACCGCAGTCAACGCTACGATTCGATTGGGCCAATCAAGCAGGGCCAAAAGTGCCTCGTCACGGCGTTCGTCACCTTTGTCCAATTGCTCACCGACTAAACCAGTCGCACTATAGTCTTCGCTAGTACCGCTTCACTCTCAATGGCTGACGTGAGCAGTCACGTGGTTTAGCGACAACCAACGGCGTTCTCGTGGGATGTTGCAGTATATGCGTCTCGGTATACATAAAGGATTAGGCCAAGATTTGTCGAACTAAGAAAGTGAAAATAAACGTATACTACCAATGACGATTTTAGCAGTGAGAAGATGTTATACGTAAACATGTTTTTGTTGTGTATTCAGAGTGATTCACCAAAATAGTGTACTCTTGCCTTTCGTGAGTTCAGAAATGTGCCTTCATATGTATTGCCTATTGTTCTATTTTGTGTACTGATGCACTCCTGTAACAGCCCCTACGGGCTAACAGTATAAATAAAAATAAATAAAAATATATTTTATTTACGGGATACTGCAAGCCACCATTGTGGCCAAAGCGGGAGTGCGTTTAATGTTTATACAGAACTAAAATATCATAAGTTGTACGAGGTATAAACAAGAGTAAAAAGAGGAGCAGCTGACCAAAGCGCTGCAGTATTTTTTTTAAATGGCGTTTGAAGAGACATAATTGATCGGGTTACAAACTTAGCTCCATTTTGTAGACTGCCTTGTTTCTCCCCAAATGACACTCGTGATATTTCAGAACGTATTTGCCCCGATGAAACTATATATTTACCCCGATGAAACTATCTGGATCGCGGTTCATTTACTAAAGGATGCTAACCAGTGACAGTGTCTTGATAACACTTCTGCCAGGAAGATGTAACTTTTCTGAGAAAACAGACGTGATGTTTCACTTTTTAAATGTTCGAAAATTTAGGCTACAACACCGAACGAAGACACCACCTCTGTCTCGTCATCCCCTAGTCTGATCTCGTGGATAGATGGCGCTACGAGCTCCTCAAAAAAGTTACACTACACCAATGGACCTAAAAGGATGCGTATCGCCAAACTCATTTGCCTTATGTACGAAGCGGCCTTGGCTGATTGCGTTTCTGGCCAGCCGAACCAGGGACGCGGTTCCGAGCCACAGGTAGGCGAACACGTTGAGGGGCGGTGGCAGAGAGCGCCTCATGGCGAAATCCATGACCAGCTGGTAGCGCTGGAACCTCCAGATAGCGTCCAACTCCGGTTTTAGGTCCGCAGCCGTGTTGCTGCAATCGCGCGCAAACTTCACGCAGTGCCGCGGTGTGGAGTTCGGTCGCCTGCCTGTCAGTGTCACTTCAAATATTATTGATGTTTTGATCGGCAGCAATTCTCGCGAAACAGTGACATGGCCGTGATCGTGCAAGATGAGCACCGAGGGATTAGCAAGATGAGCACCAGCAAAAACTTAAAACGCCAAAAATATTTTGCATTTTTTTATTTGGTTTGGTGCTATATGCTATTTTGTGTCTGAGAGAAAGGGGACCGGTCTTTTACTAATACACAATTTTGGAAATTTCTTAATGATGAATAGATTATAGACTTGATCCACACGTGTTCAGTCACGGCACTGTTGAATCATTTATCAATGCAGTCGAAGATGAACTTTTTCGTAATTATTAGATGTTTAGAATGATGAGAAGTCTTGTTCATTCGTTGTTAAATGCCTCAGATGTATCTTTTTATTATTTACCAATGCCTGCAATACGTCCTTCGGGGATAGGCAGTATTTTGAAATAAAATAAATAAATGAAAATGTACGGTCGCCATATTAGTTGGACATGCACTGTGAGCACGCGCACTGGACACGAGCGCTTCCTCAGCATTCGAAGTGTTCTCGGATCGAAACGCATTCCACACGAGTGCTGACGTCAGTGCTCGGCGCGAACTCGGAACCAATCACGGACTTCACGCCGGAAGCGATGAGACCAACTAATGGCGGCTGCGTATAATCTATGCATAATTTCGCAATTTCGGACGTGAGCACTGCTTGGATCCACGAGTGATTACGCTTGTCTTTTAGGTGGCATTGCCTTTGCTCATTGCAAATTTAAACCGCGCTTCGCTGAACGCTCAGTTAGTCTTCGCCGGAATGTAACGTTACCTAAATCTAGAGCGGCTACCAAAGTTTCAGAATTAACCGTTATCCGACTTAAAATTTTCGAGCATAGGAAATTTTCCGAAATTTTTAACGAAAAAGTGCCGGCCAACGAAGTCAACGAATACATGCAGGAAATGGATTTTGTCTGCCACCTCGAACGGGCCTCAATTTCTCATTAAAAAACTTTTAGCCTTTCCACTTTAGTGAAGAAGGAAGACCAGCGAAGCTGTACTATGATGGGAATGAAGTAATGGCCGGCCGGAAGTCGGCAAGCCAGAGTGGAAAGGCTCGAAAGGTTGCGCCATCTATGAGCGACGGCGGCAAGCGGACAACCGACAAACACAACACTCTGGAGAGCTACCGCCATCTATAAGCGACTGAGACAACCAGAGTTTTGTGTCGACATTTCTTTGCGGGGGACACGATCCTGGAGAAACTTTCCTTTAACAGCTCCGCTGTAAAACTTTCGATAACTCTTGAATCAGAAAAGCTCGAAGCACACTTAAGCACTCCTTATGAGTTGTGAATGTGAAAGCATGCAAGCCTCTCGTCCGCTTCCTTTTTCGTCTGCTGCGTACTTTTCGTCGCCGCTCAGCTCGCGTGCTCTCCTGGGCACGCTGACTTTGGACGCTCCGTGTTAACGGCGCGCTGATGGACACGCAGCGCCATGGGGTGAGCGGCCGTGGAAACTGACGATCGGAGCGGCCACTGGGAGCCCCGTCGACGCACGCCAGCCAATGGTACCGAAGGCGAAATCCATCAGCTTTACTTCGCTCCTTTGGGATCGGGGAAACTAGGTGCCGTTTTCGCGCTTCAAACTAATGACGTCAAGTCGCTCCATACGACAATTAATGCTTTCGCATTATTAAGTTGTGAAACATTGGCATCGTGTCCGGGCCCCGCTTTAGGATTACACTTGGGCGGAGACTGAGCGTTTGGCGATGCGTGGTTTATTTTGGTGCTGAGAAAAACGCTGTATTCCTTTCTAGCGAGCGCCCCGTATTTGTGTGCATATAATTCGAACATGCGGCTTGGATACGTTACGGCACCGACCTGAAGAGTGCGTAGAGCAGGGTGAGCGGGATGAGCTTGAGGTGGACGAAGAAGAGCACGGCAAAGATTTACGGCCACAAGCCAGGGTTGGGACAGCTCCCGTCCGCGACTGCGAGCAGCGTCAAAAGGAGACGCACACCTTCGTAAAAAAGCTGCTTAAAATTGAATCGTTCAGAATGCAACCAAGAGTCAAAATTGTCTCAGGACAGTACTTGAAGCCGCATACTTCTTTAGGGAGCAATGGAGTCAAGCTCGATTGCTTACCACTATCATTTTCTTGTGCACATCCAGGCAAGGAGTTAATAACTCCCGATCGAATGTGACTTTTTCTGGTTTCAGGGGCTCTATTTTGTGAAAGCTGTAGAAGCTGAAACACTTTTTTGCATGAGAGGAACGGAAGCGAATATTTGAACACAAATAGCCGAGTACGGAGATATGCACGCGAGCTATAGGATGTCCAGTTAAGACATATGCTCAATGTACTTTTGCAAATTAGGCATCGCGACACTTAATTATGAGTCGCATCGCAAGACTCATTATGATTCAAGAGCGCTTCAACAACGAGCTTTTATTTCAAGACGTCGGCCCCAAATAGAAACATGCTTCGAAATCGCTCAAGTGAGTCTCGCGGCTCAAACATTAAACTCAAAAATGGTGTGTGTTCTAAGGCGAAAGCCTTACTTGTCCCATTTTGCGAAAAAGCGGCGTCTTCGTGCATGAAAGATGACCATAAAAATACGTCATCAAGCACGCGCCGCTCACGTTCACGCTCAAGTGCAAGAGCGTGTTGTCACCGCCGGTGCGCCGTGTGCAAAAGGTACGCTTCGGAATTCATCTCTTCTCGTGGTGTGCTTCGTGCTATGAAACGTAGGGCGACCGCGTCTACATCTATACGGCCTCAACATCGGCAGCAGCGTCCACATCTACGGCGGCTTCCGCAAGCAACATGGCCGTAGATGACGTCCTTTAGGACGTAATCCTCGACGTCGTCCTAGACGCCGTTCTTGACGTCGCCCTCGACGTCTTCCTCCCGGTTGTCCGAGAGCTCGTCCTCGGCGTTGTCCTCGACGTCGTCCTTGATGTAGTCCTCGACGTCGTCCTTGAAGTCGTTCTAGACGCCGTACTTGGCGTCGATCCCTAGTACCTCGTCCTAGATTCATCGTGTGCATTTGTTTTTTTTTTGCTCTTTAAAACCTTTCAGCCTTTCCAACTTCTTCGACGTCTCCCACCACCTGCACAAACATCAAACGCGGGTCCACCAAATTTAGCGGGGACATTTTCCCGCTAAATATAGCAAGTTCCCCAGCAAACTTTAGCAGGGAATTTGACGTCACGTGACCTCAACAACAATTCAGTTTCCGCGCTAAATTTAGCGGGGAAAATGACTTCACCTGACTTCGTGTCACGTCACCCATGAACAAATTCAGTTTCTCCACTAGATTTAGCGAAAAAATTTACGCCACGTGCCCTCAACACCAATTCAATTTCCCGTTAAATTTAGCGGGACGGCTACGACGACGGCGACGCCGCGAAACGCGGAAACGGGCACCTAGAGCTGTGCTCTAAAACTGGCGGAAACGTAGGAAGACACAGTTGCGAGTCATTGTTTTATTTTCCATGCAGTTCGGAAGCTACGATTGTTGCCATAAAAAAACAAACAAACACATATATAGCTTTGTTCGCTTATCTAAACGACCGTGAAAGGAAAAAAAAAATAATAATAAAGAGGTAACACTAGCGTGCACTTGTGTATTGTCTTTGTGATGACACAAGCTCACGAACAGTT